AAGTTACTTATAGCTAGTGAGCACTTGAAATGTGACTAGTCCAAACTAAGATGTACTCTAATACACACTAGATTTTGAAGACTTATATGAAAAAAAAAGAATGCAAAATGTCTGATTAATATATTGTTATACTGATTATGGATAAAATTATAATATTCTGGATATACTGGTTAAATAAGTATATTAAAATCAATTTCATACGTTGTATTTTACTTTAGTAGAAAATTTTAAATTTCATTATATTTCTGCTGGACAGCTCTGATCTATAATCTACATCAAAGTATTTCAGTAAAGAAGACATGATTTCATATGAGTGTTTGTTAGTTTTAATTACACCCTACAAATGGACGTTTGACAGCCCAACATTCTGGAGATACACATTACGAACATTTCAAATATCTTTATCTCTAATCAACTTCAGAGGGCTTATGAGGTAGACTCTATTATTGTTCTAATATGTACAGCCATATCTGGAGTGCTTCCCTATTGGAGAATTACACTTCCCACACTGTTGACTTCAGGCTTGGTCATGTGACTTACCTTGGTCCATGTAATGAGAGTGGCAATGACATATACAACTCTGAGCAGATGCTTTAAAAGCTATTCCACTATCTGAATGAATAAAGAAGATGTGGTACAAATACACAATGGAATATTATTCAGCCGTAAGAAGAAAACAGATCCTACCATTTGCAGCAACATGATGGAGCTAGAGGGTATTATGATTATGCTCAGTGAAATAAGCCAGGCGTAGAAAGACATTTTTTTTATATGCTACATTTTAGCTATCATTAAAAAAACAACAACATGATCTTTCAAAAGGTCATTCCTGCCTATCTTCATTCTGTAGATGGCATTAGAAGGTAGACCTGGCAGAAATATTAATAACCGGAAATCCATGTCAAGTTTGTACACTCTTGGCCCAGCTGACTTCTGCTCACCAAATCAAAGACTGATGAAAAATAAAAAAATCATGTACCAAATGATTTCACTCGTCTGTGGAGTATAAGAACAAAGAAAAAAACTGAAGGAACAAAACAGCAGCAGAATCACAGAACCCAAGAATGGACTAACAGTTACCAAAGGGAAAGGGGTTGGGAAGGAGGGGTAGGAAGGGAGGGAGAAGGGGATTAAGGGGTATTATGATTAGCACACATAATATGGGGGGGGGGGCACGAGGAAGCAAGTACAGCACGGAGAAGACAAGTAGTGACTCTATAGCATCTTACTATGCTGGTGGACAGTGACTGTAATGGGATATGTGGTGGGGACTCGATAACAGCAACTCACAATGTTGCTCATGTGAAACCTGAGCATAAGATTGTATATCAATGATACCTTAATAAAAAATAAAAAAACAAACCTATCACACTATCTACCAACTCTCTTTTCCCTGTGCCACAAGACCATATGTCCCATACAGAGGCAGCTCTTGTAGCCTAGGTATCAGAATGAAACAACACAGAGCAGACCACAGTTGACCCTTGAGGGATATGTACATATCATGCGTGAGAAGAAAGTCTTCCCCAAGAAGGTGGCCCAAAACTAGGGACAGTATGGCAGCTGTTTTCTCACCTGCCCCAGAACTGAGGTTAAGCTCCTCCAGTTTGGCAGGTGAGGGTCAAAAGTTGATGCACTTCCTCAGGAGAGACTGTGAAACTCTAGTTAGAGATTCTATGACATAGTCTGGTCTGATTTGCTCATTGCTTGTGTTCCCAGCACCAAGCAGGGCCTGACACATAGTAGGTGTGCCACAAATATTGTTGCATAAATGAATGAAGACCAGGTTTTAAGGGGCTTGAGGCTCATAAATGTTTGGGAACATTCTTTAAAAAAAAGTTATTAATTAATATAAATGGCTAACAAACACATGAAAAGACACTTGACATCACTAATCCTTAAAAAAATGTAAATCAAAGTCACACTGAGATACCACTTCACACTCATTAGGGTGGCTATTAAAATTGTAGGTGAATTCATGGACAAATCTAGTGATTTGTATCGAGTTTTTTATATTTTTTTTAAGTTCTTATTGTAAAACTTTTTAAATCAAGAAATATGAATTTTATATTTTGAAAATGTTATAAGTCCTGAATTTTGTTCTTCATAACTTATATGAATTGTTTAATAATCAGAAGGAGTAATAAAAAATTGATACATATCTTTGAAATCACTATAATAGTCAAACCTCTATTACAGCCATCAAGGTAACACATATGCAAATGTTACTGAAATTATGGAATACCTACCTGGTGAAATATTATGTAGCCAATAAAAATTATGTAATAATGACATAGGAATTGCTTAATTATATTAAGTGAAAGAGCAGTATAAAAAGTTTTATATATGAATGATCATTACAATATAAGAAAAAGTCCAACAAAAACATAGGCATTAATAAAAGCCAATGATTGTCTGGGTGGTTACATTATGAATAAATTTTCCTCTTATTTAAAATTTTTTTTCCAGAGTTTCTAATATAAGCATGTGTTATTTTAATAATGAAAAATATTTAAGTATAATACATCTATCATTTGAAATGCAAATAATTTTTTTCACTAAGGAGAGAAAATATGTAGATTATAGAGAAATAAGTATAAAAATTATTCCTTTAGACTTTGATAAAAAGGATAAACCCAGCACCCAAAACAGACTTTTTCAGGTTTCTAAAAAACCTACAAATCCTATTATGTGCTACCTATTTTATTATCATTTTTATTATTACTTATTATTATTATTTATTATTCACATTTCATTTTACTGAAATTCTATTATAATTACAGCACAGCGATCTATAGAGCTATTGATCTATAGAGCTATTGATCTATAGAGCTATTGGCCAGCTCCTCTGTGATAAAGTAGCAGATGAAAAGGATTTAGATGCGCAATAAGGAAGCATCATTGTTTCTTATTTCCTTGTTTCTTCTAGACAACTGGAAATTTTTATCTATTGGACTGTTGTGTTTCAATACGTAGGGTAAAGTTTATTGTAAGTTACTCTGTCAGGCTGAGTCGAATGCTTGAGGTAAAAGAAACTGCTACGGGTGCAGAACAGAGAACTCTCCAACTTCATTGTGAAGAGAACTGGATACTTTACACTCTTAAGCAGAAATGCTAATCCTGCAAAAACACTATCTGTGGATCAGTGACTGGAGGTAGGGTGGCAGCAAATTGTCAGCTTTCTTTTTCAAAAGTAGATTGTAAAGCTCTGGGATCCAGAGAGGATAATGAACAAGTGATTTTGAACAATTCTCTTGAATTGAGACACAAACCTGAGTTTGAAATGTCAGGGGAAGTAACATGATCTCTGACTTTCAACTGTAGTCATTACAGTCCCAGCCAGATCTATCTCCTGACCACGGTGAAATTTGTAAGCTGGAAGTGGGAGTATCCTCGTTTTCTGAAGCCCAAGAACATATATCTAGTGTATATACATATTTCTATCTCTAGTAGCTAAGTTTCTAACAAATTTTCAAGACAAGGTAAAATTATGAGATATTATAGATATGTAATTTTAATAAATAATAAATTGTTTTATGTTATGTACAAAATTAACACATGTCCAAGACTTTACGTAGCTCAAAAATAATGAGAGAACTGTCAAGAATAGGGTGGCCTCTAAAAGCTGGAAAAGGCAAGGAAATGGATTTTCTCCTCCAGCCACCAGAAAGGAAAGGAGCCCTACAGATACCTTGATCTTAGCCTACTGAGACCTGTGTGGGATTTTCTGGCCTCCAGAACTGTAAGATAGTAAAGTTATTTTAAAGCACCAAGTTTATGGTGATTTTTAAAAGTAGCAATAGTAGAAAACTAACATGGTAGACATGAATTAGTTGCATTGCTATCAGTTATCTACAATTTCTAGAGTTTAAAAATATGTTAGTCAAAGACAAAGGCACATACACATACGCATAATTAAGACCTCATGCTCATGCTGTATCTGCAGAGCTTAGGGAGCTTACTTTTTGGGCAGCAAATAAAAGTAGAAATGCATTCCTAATGAGACAAATGACTCAGCACTTAGCAATTGCAAAGATGTCCTATCCAACCACAGGGTCATCAATCACTGATGGAAGAAGAAATGAGCCAATTGATGACTTGATGGTTCAGTAGAATCCCCCTTGAAAATCGGGGAGAGCCAAATCATCAATAACTCTGGAATCAATTCTTGCTCCATCAGCCAATTTCTAGCCAAAAGGAGTAATGGCCTCTTAGTAGCCAAGTGCTTCAGCTTTGGGGCTTGTGTCACAGCAGAATTTCTTTTCCTTCAATTTAAGTAGGCTGGATAACACTTAGAAATTGACCCTCACCCCTTGGAAACTTTTATGAAGTAGAAATTGATTGATAGGTATTGAAAAAATATATATAAAAAGCATCAGATGAAAAATGATGATTGAAGTGGAATTATATCGTTTTTGCTTTCCTGGCATTCATACTTCATTCTTTTCATAGCAACACACTTAAGAGTTTCAGATGAGGCTGATTCCACACATATTCCTTTTACTACTCATTTCAAACAAGAGTAGGTGAATGACCCAAGCTTAGCACATCTGTCTCAAGGACTAGTTTAAGAATTTATGGGACAAGATTTGACCACTGAGAATCAAATTTGGATCATTATTTCAAAGTATGGGGCAAGAAGAACTTTCTACAAGCTGGTCTTCCTAACCTGGTGGGATATGGACTAGAATTGAAGGAGAATCAGCTTGACAGTGAAGTCAGCTCATGGGGGAGCAGAAAAGAGAACCCAGATTCCTTTGATATTGTTTGTACTCTTAAGTTCAGTCATGCCTATTACAAAGTCATCTTTCCTCTGTTCTTTTCAGAGTAGTCAATTATTTTGCCCCTTTCCCCCTATAAGTCTGTTTGGGGTTAATTTCTGCTACTTGTAATCAAGATTCCTAAGACAACCATGTATATTTGATAAGTTATCTCATTACTGATGAAAGAACAAACTAAAGCAAATTAAAATATTTGAGTTTATTTGGTCAAAAATCAATTGGAATCAGGCAGTGCCAAACAAGAAGTGGTTAGAAATCTGAGTTAGGAGAAAGATTTTTATAGAGAAAAGGCAGAAGCAAAGCAAGGCAATTATTTGATTGGCTGTAGCCTAAACATTTACTTTATTTGGAAAAGTCTAGTTGGCTGTTTGTGACTGGTTGTCCTTAGGTTTTGCTTTCTTGACCTTGAGGCATTTATAGGCTTAGGTTTTGGATTACTTTGTGGGCTGATAAGGTATTAGAACCATGTCAGTCTAATGGTCTCCTTGTTTAATAAATTTAATACTGCCAAACAGACGGACCAAGGAAGAAAGTAAAGAAACACACTAGGAGAAAACATTTTCCAATTGTTAAACAGATACTAAAAAAAGGGGGGAAGGAGGGTAATATCTATATATAACACAAAACATAAAATGATTCACAGTGCTTCTTGCAGAAGAAAAATGATAGGTGTCACTGCATTCAGTAGTTAACACTAACCACTGACAGCTCTTACAAAAGCAAATATTTTTGCAGAATTGCTTCACCTTCTTCCACTGTGACCTCAGTATCTTTTCACTGTCCCTAGATTGCTTGAAAACACTCTCCTGGGATCCACATCAACATCTATAGTTTTGCTTGAAGCCTGGGGAATGACACAGAAATACAGAAAATACAGTCTATCTTTGAGATGCTTATGCTCCAGATTATTTGGTCAAAAATCAACTGGACTCAGGCAGTGCCTTACAAAGGGTAATGGATGAAGAAAATCTAGCTGTTATTGAAAGTGAGTGTTTTGTAAGAATTATATTTTTAAGAATAACTATAGTATAACTCTTATAAGTTGTTATCCTCTTATTTTTATCCATTCAAAACAAGTGGCTTCTTCTTTGAAACCTTTGTAGAACCTCTGCTGTATGCCTGTATCTGTGGTCTCTTCAGTCTCTCTTCAGCACATTTGGGAATGCAGAAGAAGCAAAGAGAATGAAATCAAAATAACTCGATTATTAGAATAATGTGATTAAGTTGATTCAGTCAGCAAAACGGAATCAACTTATTAAAAAGAGTTTTAATGGGGAGTATCATCTTTCATAAATCAGGCAAGCAAACCATGAGCCATTTGGAAAGCAACCTGCTTTGTGCCCCTTTTTCATTTTTCTTAATTTTGAGCTTCACAAAGCCATGGCCTGGCAGTTTCTAGTTAAGTTTGAGGTCGAAGGTTGTGGGACAGATTGTTCCTCCATCCTTCCCGCATATAAGTCACTTAATTTTTTTTATTCAGATTTGATAGGGAAAAGGAAATTTTCTACTCATGACAAAGGACTAGTATCAAACACAAACACAATTTGAAAAATTCCAATAAACCAATAATAATGGATAATGATAAAAGATAAACACCTAAAATGTTGTGAAAGGATGCTCAACCTCACTGCTACACAGGAAAATGCACATTAAAACAATAGTGATACACCATTTCATAAACATAAAATTGATAAGAACTAAAAATAACAAATGTTGGCAGCTATTAGAGATATTCTCATAAACTAAGTACAGTCACTTAGAGGAACAAATTTACAATTATTTTGATATGTAAAATTGAAGATACCTTATACCTTATCCATTCCACTTTTAAATATTTATTCTAAGTAAACTCTCATGCAAAGCTGTTCATTGCAGAATTGATTTTAAAGGTAAAAAATGAAATATCTATTAAGATACAAAATAAATTTATTTTGATAATTCATAAATAGAATACTATAGGATAATTAAAATAAATGAACTAAACCTAGGTGTGTTGGTGTGGAACATCTAAATACAATGTTGACTAAAAAAAGTAGGTTCCAAGAAGATATATGAAGAATGGGTAGCATCTATTAAAAATGCAAAAGGATACAAAACTATTGTTTATTGTGTATGTATGTAGGTGATGAATACATATGTAATAAAAGTAGAAAAGCATGAGCAGAAAAAAATATAGTAACTTCAGTGAAGAGGTAGTTTTGAACAGTTAGGGTAATGGAATGGGAATGGGTTTCAACTGTATGTATTTGATTAAAAAAAAAACCTAAAGTAAATATAGCAAAAGATTAACTTCTGTGATACATTTACCTCTGGGAGTACAAAAAGACTTTCAAAAGGGTGTACTGGCACTGAAAATTTTATGGCATGAATCAAAGTCATTAACTCCTACATATTTGCTTTCCTCAAGTTATCTTCTGAGAACTTGTCACACTGGTTCTTTCCCACCTCTGTTTTCACATTTTGAAAGGCATCCCTCTCAACCTTCTAAATCTCAGTAGCTGTCAAATTTTCCAGGGCATCAAACAAAAGGGCAATTTGAGATATCAGTTTAGATGTTGAGAAAAAAACTGTTCTAACAACTGCTTTTGGACATTTGTAAGCGAAGAAAAAATTATTTCTTCCTTTACTCATCTTACGTTCAAATCCTTTTGGACATTTGTAAGCAAAGAAAAAATTATTTCTTCCTTTACTCATCTTATGTTCATTGGCTGAAACCTTGTATATTAGACCAATAAACAACAAATTAACAAGCAAAAACAGATACTAATTAACATATGCATAATGTATATACATGGGAGTGCCCAGCAAGGAGTACTCAAAGGGGTGGTTAGAACTTGGACTTATGTAGCATCTTAACAAAAGAACAATACATCTTTAGAAAGGTGACAAAATAAAGGAAAAGGACTTTGAGTTTCCAGAGCAACATTTTGTAGGAAGGCAAATATATGGGGGAACTAATGGAAAATGAGGGCTAGTTTGTAAAGTATGTTATATAAATTTCTTTGGTGCCATCTCTGGGCTGATAAGCCTTCTCAAAAAACACTGATAATAAAATTCCTTCTGTTCTCTTCCAAACATTTCAATATAGAGAAGGTAATCATGGATGAGATGAGAGAATGATAGAAGGAGCACTCATAAATCTTTCACCTGGATTAAAAATTATTGATATTTTGCTACATTTGATTTTGTGTTCTCTATTTGTCCGTCCATCTGTTTAGATACACTTTTTAATTTTTTTGCTGAAACTCTGAATGTAGGTTGCAGACACCTGAAACTTTACCTTAAATTCTACATCCCTCAAAAAATTAACAAAATCCACATATCCAATATATATCTCATAATCAAATGTCTATAATTGTCCCCAAAATTTCTCTTATTACTGTTTCCCAATCTAGAATCTAGACAATCAAACTATGCACTTGGTTGTTACAACTTTGTATATTCTTCTAATTTGAAATAGCTCTCCCACCTTTTATAGTAATACTCACTTTTTGAAGAGTTCAGGCCAGGTATTTTTTAGAGGGTCCCGTCCCACATTTTGACTTTTGTCATATTGTGGTGTTTAACTTCTTACTTTGTCTCTTCACATTTTCTGTCAACTGGAAGTTGGGTCTAGAAGAGGTTTATGAGATTCGGAGTAAATATTCTGCCAAGAATTTCTTATAGGGAATGTTGTGAATAATGTAACACATCACATCAGGATACAGTGTAAGGATAACCCAGTATATTTGTGATACTAAATTTTTATCTCTCAGTTAAGGTTTTAACTGCCATGATGCTCCATGGAAAAGATTCTTGTTTCTTTTTGTAATTAGTAAAAAAAAAAAAATCTCTGGAGTAATACTTTGAAACTGTTTCAATATGCATGCCTCAATGCAAATCAAAACCACAATGAAATATCACTTCACACCAGTTAGAATGGCCATTAACCAAAAGGCAAGAAACAACAAATGCTGACATGGATGCACAGAAATAGGAACCCCACTACACTGTTGGTGGGACTGCAAATTGGTACACCTGCTGTGGAAAGCAGTATGCAGGCTTCTCAAAATACTAAAAATAGGAGTACCACTTGACCCAGTAATTCCACTACTAGGAATTTACCCAAAGAAAACAAAATCCCTGATTCAAAAAGATACATGCACCCCTCTGTTTATCGCCACACTGTTTGCAATAGCTGAGATATGGAAGCAACCTCAGTGTCCATCAACAGATGAATGCATAAAGATGCATACACAATGGAAACAGATGAATACACAATGGAATATTATTCAGCCATAACAAAAAAGAAATCCTGCCATTTGCAACAACATGGATGGACCTAGAGGGTATTATGCTAAGTGAAATAAGCCAGCAGAGAAGGACAATGCCATATGATTTTACTTATTTGTGGAATATAAAAAAAAAATGAATAGTGGTAGACTTCTAGACACTGAGAAGAGACTGATGGTTACCATGGGGGAGAGTTGGGGTGGGTACGTAGGGAGAGTGAGGGGTATAAAGGGGCAAAAAATTCTCAATTATGTAAGTTGGTCACAGGGATAGTAGTACAGCATGGAGAATATAACCAGTGTTTCTGTAACATCTTTTTATATTGACAGATAGTAACTGCACTAGTGGGGGTGAGGATTTAATAATATGGGTAACTGTTGAACCACTGTGTTGTATATTTGAAACTAGTATAAGTTTGTATATCAATGATACTTCAATCAAAAAAAAGATTTAAAAAAATATTGTATCCCTCATCAACATTTTGCCCAATGGCTTTAACATTCACTGATGAGTCTTTCTATTATTAGTATTATTTCCTGACCAGTTTTTAGTATATTTATTTTAAAATTAAATAATTAGAAACATTAAAAAAATATAAATACAGTAAATAAGATTCTTAACCAAAAGTCTTCCACCTTCTTTATTTCCCATTGTTAATGGTTTCTCATGTTTGCTTCCTGAAACTTAAGAACCTTGAGAATATAAAGTCATTGAATCATAATAAAAGAAAGGATTAGATAAATTCCCTAATATAATAGGAATAAATTCAGGGATTCCAATGAGGGATTTTTCTGATGGGAAAAGAAGAGATTGGTGATAGTGTTACCGGGTAGTGGGATTAAGTAGGCATTAAAGTTTAAGAAAAATTCCTAGACCTAAAGGAAGTGGAGAGAAGTGTTGGAACTATATCTTGAACAATGTGGTATGCTAAAGCCAGCTCATATTGGCTTCCAAGACCTAATTGCTTCATTTTTAAGAATTTTGTGAGCTGGTTGTTATGCATAGCCATTATAAAAAATTAAATTTTATAAATTTACTGTTATAGTAATCCCAGATAATATTAATAATTCTTCCTAATTATTTTTACTAAATGTTACTATTATCTATACTCTTGAGGTTATGTCTATTATATCTGCATAATAGAAAAATTATATAACAGTGTGCTGTGTACATCTCTTTCCAACTCTACATTCAGTGATATCATGTTGGTTGTTTGAAATAGGTCATGGTGGGAGCATTTACATCATAGAAATGTCAGCAAATGCTACAGGTCAGGGCTTGATTTATTGTTTTGTTGACTGTTTAGACTTAAAATGATGGACAGCATGTTAATATGGATTAAACTTAAAAGTGTGTTATGTCTGTAGTTGTTACACTGTCAATAGCATTTAAAAGTTGAGTAAATATTCTTCCAGTATTCAAAAACTACATAATTCATTGAAGAAGTTAACTATAATATTGTTGAAAGGGTGAAGTTTCAACATACGTCTTAGTTATTTCACTTTCATCCTATTCCTTAACTAAAATATCAAGATACATTGCTATGGATACAAGAGTTCAGCAAAAATCAACAAAAGTATTTTGTGAAAGTCAATTGGCTACATGGAATTTACAATAAGGGATATTTTATATTTTAATATTTTTATAATAAGAGTATTCTTTAAATCCATAACATTCACACACATACATATACATACATATATATGTATGACTGAGTTGTGTCCCTCCAAAATTCGTATGTTGAAGCTCTAACCCCCAATGTCTATATTTGGAGATACGGTCATTAAGGAGGTAATTAAGTGCAAATGAGGTTGTAAGAGTGGGGCCCTAGTCCCATTGGACTGGGTGGCCTTATTTAAAAAGAGAGATCTCTGTCTCTTCCTCCCTCTCTTCACACATGCCCCCACTGGAGAAAGCACATGATGACATGGTGGCCACTTGCAAGTCAAGAGAAGAGGCCTAAGGATGAAACATACCAGCCAGCACCTGGATCTTGGACTTCCCAGCCTCCAAAAAATGAGAAATAAATTTCTATTGTTTAAGCTACCCAGCCTATGGTATTTGTCATGGCAGACCAAGGTTAGATACACACTCCTGCTAGGTACACAAATAATCATAAGAAATGTTAGAGAGTGATGAGTGCTATAAAAATATGGAGTAAATGATAATGTGAGGAGTGCAGAGGAGTGGTACTTTAGGTAATCCAAGCTAGAGATCCTGAGGACCTGAATGTGGGCAATGGCCTTAGAAAAACAGAAGTTCACAAGACTTTAAGAAGGTGTCATTTGACTTGTCAGCTATAGCTGACCAGCACCTGGACTCTGCTCATGGATACTGGTGGAAAACTACACATGTGAGCCAGAGAAGTACAAGTACCTGGTTTTCCAGTGATATACCAGCTGCCCTGTATATTTTCAATCAGCTTCCTCTCCACAATCCCCTCACATTTTATTCTCAGTCTACCGCTCTTGTAAATCTTCCTTCTCTACAGCTCTTCTCTAAGTATCAGATGACCTTCCCTCTCCAGCACACGCATACCTAGTCAGTCACCAAATCTTGGGTGGTCTTTCCAAGTCGTCTTTCCTCTCCTCTTCCCCCATCGTTGCCTTGGTTCAGAACCTCATTATTTTTCTCCTTTATGTAAGGCCTCCCAATTAATCTTCTGAGTTTTCCCCCTAATCACCCTCTATCCTGATGCCAGAGTGATCTTTCTAAATCTCATGATGTCACATTTCTGCTTAAAACTGTACCATGGTTCCCGGGATTTCAGGGTCAGGTTCAGATCCTTTCTTTAACACACTTGCTTGCCTCTCTTCCAAATCTTGCCTAATCTACCCCGCCCTGCACTGGCATCTTCGTTCTGGTCATACTGAACTAGACCCGACTCTGTTCTGTTGCTTCACGCACTTTCTGTTCCTCTCTATCTGGAATCCCTACCTACATTTAGCCAGCTTCTCCTTGTCTTTCAAAATTTAAGGTCAGAGTTACCTTTTCTGGGAAAACTTACCAGACAGACCCCTTCTGATTTAGGCCCCCTTATCCGTGTTCCCTGTCTCTGTCCGTATTACACAAACACCGTGCTGTGATTTCTGTTTCCTTGTCTGTCTTCTGCAGTCTGTGTCGTATTAATCTTTCTATCCGCTGTGCCAAGCATGAGGTCTGTCACGGTAAGTGCTTACTGAAAGAATTAATTTTAGAAATAGAACCCCAGGGCTTAGAGAATCCCTGGAGGAAAACGGTTAAGAAGACGTTTTTGAGCCTTCCATTTTAGGGAGTAGAGAGATTTCCTGGCTTGGATTGGACATGGTTAGAGGACCATCGGGGAGCTGGACTTGAGAGAAGAGCTAGGGGACCAGCCTAGCTTCTAAGCTTGCGGAGCCATTGGACGTGCAGGACAGGTGAAGCTGAAACTAGAAAAACTACATTTCCCATCATGCTTCAGGACACCGCTCACCGGTTCCTCTTTTTATCACCGCCTTTTCTCCACGGAAGTGAAAGGAGCACTTCCGGCTCGGCAACAACCTGGAACTGGCGGTCTTAGGTCAGCCTTTGCTCCGACGCTCCGCCTTCCCTCCGGTCTTTCTGGAAACCAGTTTTGCTGCTGGCAGGGCAGCAGAGGTAAGTTCCGGCCCCTGCGTGTGTTCCCGGGGCAGTCCGCTGTGTTGGAACGGGCAAGACCTTCCCTCAGTCAGGTTTGGAGTGTCCGCAGGCGCGGTGGGCTTGTAGTCCACGACAGCGAAGCCGGTTACCGGAGTTGTGGCGCCGGCGCTAACGTCCGTCTTTCCTTCCCAGTTGCAGCGCTCCAGACGCGCGTGTGAGACTCCCATGGCGGATACGGCTTCCAACGGCCCCCAAGGGGCGGGCGCAGTGGTAAGTGATCGGGCAGGTACGCCTGGCTTGATTTGCAGAGAAGCAGTAGGAAGTGCTCCGAGGCGGTGCCAGGCGTTCCAGAAGCTCGTTGCTTTCAGGTTTGGGATTGGTGATAGGGGTGGGGGTTTGGGAGTGGAGAGAGGAGATCATTAGGAGAAGATGTAGCAGGAATTGAAAATTTCTGTTTTGACAACCGGCTGGTCTGGAGCAGGTCGCCCTCACCTGTACGATGGAAATTGGGTCTGTTGCCTCTTCCCACATAACGGTCTCTCATTGTCTAGGTCCGAAGGTTGAAGATGCCACCTGAGGTTGTGCCGTAAAACACCTTATTCCGCACAGGCGTTCTGGTAGAGAACGTTTCTGCCCATTTTATACCATTATATAGAAATTACGCGGAGAGAGAAGAGTGATTTTTTTAAAAACCCCCCTCTCAAAATTTTGCCCTTTACGAAGAGAAACATTATGCTTTAGTAAACTTATTTTTAAGATGCAGATCTGCTTACTCATTATTCGTACCCTAATTTATTGTTGCCCTCTGGTTTTAAACACTGAGTATGTGAGTTGAGCGACTCTTTAAAAAAAAAAAAACATTTACAGCATTTGTATTTATGTACACACTTTATTCTGCTGAACCGTTTGAGTTAGTTGCATACATCATAATGGTTAACCCACTGACACTTCAGTATTCTTCTGCATGACTACAATTCAGTCATCGCAGCAAGTTTCGCAGTTAAGTTTGAGAAATTTAACATTGATAATGTTACTACCTAATATTAAGTCCATATTCACATTTATTCAAATTGTTCTTTAAAGCTGCTTTCTCATCCGAGATTCAATCAAAAAGCGTGCATTGCTTCTGCTGGCCTTTAGTTATTTTTAGTCTAAAACAGTTCCCTTGCTGTTAACAATGCACTATATATATCAGAAAGCATTTTATGTTGATTTAACCCATCATTGGAGATAACTAAGATTGGTTATTTGCTAAGGTGGTATCCACCAGATTCTCCATTTAAGAGACAACTTTTTTCCTTTGTAATGAAAAAGTGTTCTATGGCATGATACTTTGAGACTGAATAATTTTTCACCCAATGATCCGTTGATATTTCTTCCCATTATTTAAACATGGTTGAGCAGTTCACTTTTAAAATGTAAACCAATACACTTTCTAAACCTCTTTTATATTGTGTAATAAAATACACAAACGTAAAAGTGTGCAAAATGGAATGCATAGAGAATGATTTATCACAAATGAACACACTAAACAAAGAAGAAATGTTCTAAAATTAAATTACAAACTATGGTGTAGAGTCTGAATATTTGTAGAGGAACTGAGCACAGTGTACTAGGTCAGGATAGAATAAAAAAGGCATTTGTCAGAAATTACCTGCATATTGTTAAAAGACATGCTGTAAATTGTCTTTGAACTTTAAAATGTAATTGAATTTTTTTCCAAAAGTTTTTATATCTTTTTTTAAAAGATAATTAGATGAGGTTGCTTAGTGTTTGAGACTCCAGGTTAAGACCAACTAGTGAATTTTGAAATCAGTTTAATGGAAACACTAAGTATTTCTAAAACATATAATATAATACAAAATATCAAAATGTATCGCGTTGTTAAGTATTTTGTGAAACACAGGTTTACTTTATATGTTTGGGGTCTTGATGTAAAAATTATACAGATTCTATCAAAAATGTAAAAGCTGCTTTAGAATTTGAATATAAAGTACATTTTGAATGAGAAAACAGATTTTAAGTTACTGTTAGTGGTAATGGACACATCTGTTGGCAAAGTGCAAAAAAGGAAAAGAACAAGAAAAAGGAGAAGAAAGCAGTACGTAGATTTTTTTTTTAGAGCTGCTGAAACCAGTATAAGACTGGTTGGGGAGCTTTGAGGGGATGAATGAAGAGTTATAACTTGGAGAGGCAGGCACTGTTTGACAAGGGACAGCCACATTTTGAGCACCTACAGCATGGCAGGCCTTCAGGAATGTAAGCAAATCATTTGTAGGCTAACCGGGTTCACCGAGTTCAGAAGCGAGTGACTGTTACTTCTCCTTTGGAAGGCATATTTAAAACAAACTGGCTTTGTGTGATGCCTTTTTACTTAGCTCTGAGACTTACCCATTTGAATTTGAGATTTTTCTAAGAATAGGCATTATGGTACTCTTGAGAGCAATTAAATGTTCTTATTTAACATTCTTTTAAATTAGATGAAGCCAGTATTAGTAATACAGACAACTATAGTTAAATTCCTGTTCCAATTTTTCTTTCCTAATTAGTCTTTCAATTTTTTAAAATGTCAACTGGTGTTTTTCTATTTAAGTACTTCTGGTGCTTTCCACATCAAAACTATATGGTGTTTGACTCCTTACTGAGCATATGAAACATGAAACAGTTGCCTCAAGTTTTCACTTAATGATCTTAGTGCTATGTAGTGTTGTTAAAAATTTTTGAGTGAGAATAAAACTACAGTCTTCATCCTTAAAAACATAATTTGCAGGCTTCATTTACTATAGTATTTTTCTTTTTAAATTTAGCAATTCATGATGGCCAATAAACTGGACACTGCGATGTGGCTTTCTCGCTTGTTCACAGTTTACTGCTCTGCTTTGTTTGTTCTGCCTCTTCTTGGGTATGTATTATACATATTTCTGCCTTTCATATTCAACTGTTCAGTCAGTTTTTATGAAAATACCTTTTAGGTGCAATACTTGTTAAACTGCAAGAGGGGATTTATAAACGGGAACAAATAAAACAGGTTTCATCTTTAAGGCTCCTATCATCTAGTATGATTAGGTGATATTTTATATTGTAGGAGTATTTTATATTGTGCTTTGTGAAAACTGACATCGCATCAAAAATCTGAAAGAAAATGGATGTGTGGGGATAAGATGAGTTCATGTTTTTTTGCTTCTTTGACTAACAGGGAGAATGACTGCTTTATAAAATTCAGTTGGATGTATATATAAAAAGATGCTTCTAAGAAGGTACAATAGGTTCAAGTAATTTTTTTTTCTATTGATAATTAAGTAATAGATTTCAGTGTTATGCAATTATGATGCAATTCACAAAGGAGGAAGAGAGGTGGTAGTTGTTTATGTCCCATGATAACCTCTCCTTTGGTAATTTGCAGGTTGCATGAAGCTGCAAGCTTTTACCAACGTGCTTTGCTGGCAAATGCTCTTACCAGTGCTCTGAGGCTGCACCAAAGATTACCGCATTTCCAGTTAAGCCGAGCATTCCTGGCCCAGGCTTTATTAGAGGACAGCTGCCACTACCTGCTGTATTCACTCATCTTTGTCAATTCCTACCCTGTTACAAGTATCCTTTTGTACCTTTTTAACAGTGGCATTGCCTACTAAGGGTATAGGGACTTCATTTGGTTAAGTTTTGCTGTAGGAAGGCTTCCGCAATGAGAGTGTCCGTGAAGCGAGGGTAGCTTGGTTGTTTGGCACTTCAGTTGAATGAAGATATGTTTAGCATAAGAATTTCTGGTTCTGAAATGTGAAATCTAGATTTTGAAGAGCTTACGTGGAAATTTCAAACTTTGTATATTTGTTCTTGACTCTTGTAAACTTCTCTATTAGCAATGGGTATTTTAAAATTCTGATTAAAGCACAAGACTGTAGGGCTTTTTTCAATATTTAAATTTTTCTTTTAATTCACATCTTTGGGAAAGTGTCCAGATGTTTTGCTTTAAAAAAAGAAATCCTCTGCTCTTTTTTTCTGCTAGTGAACTAGAAACAAATGGAAATTCATCAAAAAATAACTTATTTAAGCAGAGGATGGGATAATTAATAAGAAAAAGAAATGTGGATCTGCTGGAACTAATGAGGAATTTGTGTGCTTGCAACATTTCAAGTGGATGATAATTAGGTACTTTGTGAAAAGGAGAGGAAGGAATGAGGGGGGTTCTTAGTGTGTTTGGGAAGCGCTTGGTTAAACGTCTTGAGGTTCCTTACTCTGGGACCTTTGATATGCTAATGATTTTGTGAGGCAAACTAGATGGGTGTTTCCTAGACTTAATCCTTTTAATTGGTTTTTTTCTGCCCTGTGATCATCCCTCAGGAAAGTATTTTGTGCTTTGAGAAGTGCTGCTCTTAAGATGTATGTGATACAATTACACAATATTTATGATGCAGCTATACAAAATAGCACAATAAAATGTCTCTAAAACTAAATATTACCTACATAGGTTATTTTCTAATTCGTGAAGTATCAAATTTTAAATAGATATTTGTAAATCTCAAGGAAAAAAGAACAGGAAGAAAATGAAATTTTTTGAGCACCTATTTTGCCATGATATACAAAATTTACACTAATCCTTAGAATACTGAAAACATCATCATGAGCATCATGTTATTGATATGGATATTGAAGCTCAAAGAATTTAAAATAATTTGCCTAACATGACATTGTTAAGTAAGTAGTAATGCTACCAGGGTCTTTCTGACTTAAAATAATCTACAGTTAATGGGTGAGTAACACCTAAGTGT